TTGATTATGGCAAGAAAATCAAGAGAAAGGTTATACTTATAAATTTCATTAAAATTCACGGCATTAAGCGAGAGCAATTAGCTTTAATCTCAGGAACCAGTAGTGTGTGTGTGTGTGTGTGTGTGTGTGTGTGTGTGCACGACCTCCATAATACTTTGAATGAACTAAGGAACGTTTGACAATAATGGAATAGAATTTTCACTCGTCATAGCTACGTGAACGTACATATTTATATATATATATTTATATACATATTTATATATATATATATATAAATACATACATATATTTATATATATATATTTATATACATATTTATATATATATATAAATACATACATATATTTATATATATATATATATATATATACATAAATACATACATATATGCACGTGTACATAACGATCTATTCGATGAGATAATAATAACTCGTCGATGATAAGAAAGATCATGTTCATCAAATTCTCACGTTATTTTTCAAGAATCACGAAGAGCCATTTCGCGAGATACTCCTTAAATTTTCTCGCTGAAATTTCGAATAAATACGTTCACACTGATTTATCCTTCCAGGAGGAAGCAGATCCGAAAGAATCTATTCTCTCTCTCTCTCTCTCTCTCTTTCTCTCTCTATCTCTATCTCTTTCTATCTTATTCTATTTCTACTATCTTCTAGGATCCAAGAAGTCTCGTGGAACAGAGTTAGCCGGTCTTTTACGTTGCACTTTACAGGCTTCGCCAAGAAAATTCAGTTTCACGAGGATTCACGCGACTCGAGTGCCTACAAGGCGCGATCTTTTCTTCGCCTTCACCCTTTACACTCTCTATTTTCTCTCTGTCCTTATATATATCTCTTTTTTATCTCTCTTTTACTATCATCGCTATCGTGATCTATCATGGGATAGATCGAAAGAATAAGAAGAAAAAACGACAGAGATAAAGAGAGAGAGAGAGAGAGAGAGAAAATAGGTATTGCAACGTCATCGAGAAGGAACGTTCAGACAAGCTTATTACGAGCTCTATCGAGAATATGCTTACTTTGTATCTGAAAAGTCGTATCAGGAAATTGAGGAGCTCTGTTCGAGGAAAAACGTGAATTTTCCTTCTATTCTCTAAAGTCTAAATATCTATGTGTGTATATATATATATATATATATATATATATATATATATATATATATATAAGGATGTACATGAGTGTTGTTTCATAAATACATAATGTTTATTTTTATATTTTCAAATAATCATATACGTACACGTATAAATCTTAATACATCACGTATACTCTATATAACTCATTTTAACATTGTTAAGACATATTTCACGTGGAACATATTTTTATATTAAACTCAGATAATATATTGATTAATGGATTTGGATCGTGAATCATTGTTATTTTCTTCTTTTTGTTTTTTTTTTACAATGAATAGTGCCATCACATTATCTAATTTAATTTTCATTTTTATATAGTAATACTGTTCTGCATTTCTATACACACCTAATATATATATATATATGTCTACCTCATTGATCTTCTATGTTTATGTGGTCTCGCAATTTTGACAAATCATCTTACGTACTTACTTAGAATCGTAACTGTACGATCTACATGATTTTCATTCATAATAGAAAAAAGATGAAAACGTGAAGTGAATACATCGTATATCAACACATAAAACATCGCACGTTTTGATAAATGCACGTTCCATGAAAAATCGAATCCAATGCTTCAAATAATTCTTTAAAAAACCTTTAAAAAGTCTCTCGGTATTCGAAAAGAGAGGTAACTCATAGGCGCAAAATAAAGTACAAAAAAAAAAAAAAAAAAAAAAAAAAAAAAAAAAAAAAAAAAAAAAAAAAAAAAAAAAAAAAGAAAAAAAAAAAGAAAAAAAAAAAAAAAAAATGCATACAAGTCGGAGGAAACAGCAGTAAATTTTTTTAAGCTTCGAAGAAGAAAGTAAAAAATAATTGTAGGATGAGAAAAGAGATGAGAGAGAGAGAGAGAGGTGTTACGAGCCGAGTATCGTGACGTACTTTACAGAAAATGTCGAGCGAAAAGCAGACGAAGATGAAACCGTGAAAGAAACTATTTCTGCTTTTCGATTTGACGCAAAATAAAAAGTGCAAGTCATATCAAAGAAACTCACCAAGATCTGTATTTCGTTCTCTCCTCTGGTTCTTCGTATTATACACGAACGCTTGGTTTGATTTTTCACTATTGATATAATTTCAAAAAAATTATCTTCCTGAGATAATTTTCTTTTTTTTTTTTTTTTTTGAGAAGAATATCTAGTTAACCTTAAAAATTTCTTTTCCCTTTATTTTGAACGTAAAAATCAATATATCAGTTTCAATTCAACGTGTTCTACGTAAGAGTATGAGGTTCTTCGATTGATATGCAAGATACTTTTCTATTTAAGGGAGTATCGAATGAGGAATAAAAAAAAAGAAAAAAGAAAATAAAGGAACAAGACTAGCTAGCGAAGCTATGATCCCAAACGATCTTTTACTCTTTTATATTACGTGAAAATGGAACGACCGCAAGAGAGTTCTATAACGAAAGTGAGAGAGAGAGAGAGAGAGAGAGAGAGAAAGAGAGAGAAAAAAAGAGAAAGAGAGAGAAAGAGAGAGTGAGAAGGAGAGAAGAGTGGGGAAGAAAAAGAGAGAGAGAGAGTGAGAGAGAGAGAAAGGAAGAGAGCGATCGTAAAGTGCCGAACGTCACTTAAAGGGTCTTCGAGGCTCTATTACTTTGAGAGGAGCACTTTACGCTATTACCAATACACGAAATAGGCGTGGGTGGGCGTAGACCATGGTCTGACCTTAGTTCGGCTTCTCGAAGCTCACGATCCAACGTGAACGAGCCTTTATTTCGTTTTCTCTTTCTTCATACCTTTCTTCTTATAGAACGAGAAGCAGCTTTCTCTATTTCTCTCTCTCTCTCTCTCTCTCTCTCTCTTTAGAAAGATCTCTTCATTCTCCCTTTCCCCTCTGGTTCGCTCTCGTTGTTACAAAGTGCCGTACAATCGGCTATGTCATTAGGAAGACCAAATATCGCTTTATCGGGTTGCGAACTTCGTCCTAAAAGCATTTTTAATGGAAGACATCCTTTCAGGGCGACGAGACTCTTTACTCTTTTTTAGTTCTATTTCCTTAGCCGTGCACACCCGCTTTCTACGGGGCCCCTATCGATTTTACAATTTTATCTTAATCAGCAGTTACATCGTAGTCGTAGTCGTAATCGTAGTCGTAGTCGTAGCCGTAGCCATAGCCGTAGCCGTAGCCGTAGCCGTAGTCGTCGTCGCCGTTGTCGGAGTAGAAATAGGTGAATATAAAGAGAACAAGTATCGAACGTTCGGTAAACACGTCGATATAACATGAGTATAATGGAACGACGCGTCAGCCTCGCATCATTGCGACTTTGAACATCCCAGTTTGAATGTTTTCGAAGACGAGGATGGAAACACGTTACAACGGGCTGTTAAAAAGCTGGAAAGCGAAGATCAATCATCGTTATGGAGCGAATACGTTTCTCTCTCTTTCTCTCTCTCTCTCTCTCTCTTCTCTCTCTCTCTCTCTCTCTCTCTCTCTCTCTCTCTCTCTCTGTCTGTCTCTCTCTCTGTCTCTCACTTTTTCATTCTCCCTCATTTCTCGACCTTCCAATGTGAAAAATGAAAAGGGTTAAACGAAAATTACCCTATCAGTACTGTCGTTGATAACGAGCTATGCTAGTAAGGTATCATAAAGTTTTCTTCCGGTGTAGCTGGCAGCTATACGAATCGCACGAACTCGATCAATCCTAATGCAGCACGATGGAAAAGTTTCCCCTGACGTATGATTTAACGAGCGTATCATAATCCTTTATTAAAAGCCGTCCGTCATTAAACCGCAATATTAGGTACGTCTAAAATTTTATGAACTGGAATACACCGTCCTTTAATTGGATCATAAGCCCTTTCTCTCTCACTCTCTTTTTCTATTTTGAGTGTGTAAGACACACTCCTTTGAGAGTACCTACACGCTTAATGTTCCCCAACTTTTTCGCCTCCCCTATTTCTCTTCTATTTCTTTCTCTCTCTCTCTCTCTCTCTCTCTCTCTCTCTCTCTCTCTCCCTCTCTCTTCAAACTCTATCTCGCTATAGTCTACACACAAGTCTACACATGAAGCTTTTGTGCCATGTTTATAAACTCACCGCCTGCAAACAATGTCCAGCTTGCTAAAGCCTCGCAATGAACAAACTCTGCTGTGGATTAATCAAAGCTCCTCCATGCTGTACAATTATCGGTGTACCAATTTCTGATAACAACAAGATAGAAGGGCCGCTAGCAATTAAAAATTTATAATATTCGTATAACACGAGAATAGTGTAATTAATATATGACTTCCATAGCCGACTTAATTACGATAGGTGAATGCAATAAGCGAAAGCTTTGCGAAATTCAACGTAATTAATATGCGTGAATTATCGTAGGAAAAAAAAAAATATATGCCGCTTCAACGATCGAATCCGAATCGATGGATACTTTCGGAAATTTGTACCCACAGATATCGTATCTCTTGATTCTGCAGGATCATCGCATACGAAAGTGCATTATCTGGTTCTTTAACGAGTTTGAAATCCGTTAATTACCAAACGATCTTGTCGTGGTTCGAATTTTTTTTTTTCATATAATTAACGATTATTTCCCAAATGAAGAAAATGAGAATATTCCTTTCAAAATTATTTTTCTGAAATTTCAAATAATATAAGATTCACTAGGAAAAAAGTTTGATAAATAGAAAGAAAATTTATCTTTCTCTCTCTCTCTCTCTCTCTCTCTCCCTCTCTCTCTCTTTCTCTCTCTCTCAAGTTAAATATTATAGAAAGAATATTTTATCTAGTTAGAGGAAAGGAAAAAAAATTATCGAAGAAATAACATGAGAATATTTGTCCTTAAAAAAATACTTGTTCAAATTTCGCTATTCGATTAAATTTCAACTAAATTTTTTTTTTTTTTTTTTCAGAGCTTACCGCAAACTCCAGCCGGTGGTGTCGGTGGAAAAGGTGGAGGAGGTAGTGGCGTTCCTGGTTCTGGCATGGTCAATGGTGCTGGTGCTGATCATCAGGATATTCGCGACGGTGCAGCTATAAATACCGAACACGTAAGCACTTTGATAATTATTTGAAAACACAGATCGAATAATGATTATTAAATTATATATTATTTTCCAAAGCCATATTAATCGACAATAAATTAATATATTTGATTAAAGTTAACACGTCGAAAAATTTTCTATTGACAGAATTGATTTATAAATTTTCTTTTTTCTCATAAACGATCCTTTTAAATTTTCCCGCACGATATATAACATCACGCACATATAAATACATTGTACCTACACGTATAAGTACATAATAGATACATTAAACGATAAAGTTGATATCTATTATATAGATACTACATACGTACTCTTTCAGAAAATCCATCCAAAGCTTCTCATGAACGACAGACTCCGCTTGGCTCGACTCGAACAAAATAGCCCTTTTTATTTCTCGACGTACTTCCTCGTTCTTTGAAATACAATAGTCTCGAGCAAAACGTTCGTAAAGGACGCTGAAAGACCGTCGGAACTGCTCCCCGGTGAGAAAGAACAAATCGACTTTTTCCTTCTCGTTGATAATCTCGCGATTCTTACGTTAAAACTTCGTTGAAACGAATTTTCAACGAAACTTTCGCTATAAGACCAAAAGAAAATTCGTTCGTTCTAGTATCGACATTGTTCACCTCGTTTTACTTTATTTTTACGAACGAAACGATTTATTACGAGGCAACAGTACGTAACGATAGAACGGAGATACGTCGAAAAAAAATTGTACCCAAGTACGCTTGATCGAATTAATTCACAAAAATTTGATAATTGACTTTTTTACTCAAATCATCATGAAGTATTCGCAATATGAAAAGTTCGAGATATCTTTCTACTCGATTACATTACCATTTAAAAAAGTGAAAAATTATTATTACTTCTAAAAAGAATTTAAATACCATAATAATGCTTATATGGAATAAGAATGAAGTAAATATGAAAAGAATAGAAAGACAATTTACTTTTCTGTCAAGTTCTTTACACCTCTTTAACAATGTTTATTTACTTACTTCTTAATGTATTCGCAATCCTTTGAAAAAAAAAAAAATAAAAACAAACAAACAAAAAATTACTTCTTTATACTATCTTTTCACACGCTTTTCTCTTCAGTTTACTTTTTTGTATATATATATTCTTTCCGTAATACCACTTGGAAAGAATACTTTTTAACACCTCTCTTATCATGTATGAGAAAAATGAGTGGTGCGGTTGCTAATTAAAATATAATAATGTAAATATTCTTCGAAAGAAAAAAAAAAAGATAACCTCGTAGGAATTGGCATCGTAACTCTAATGAAAAAGTTAACGAAACCTCGAGGATATAAGTAGATAATGATAATAAAAAAAAAAAAAAAATAAAATGGAGAAAGAAACTTATCTAACAATACTATAAGAAAAAAGCGAGAAAGAAGTGGGGGAAAAATGGGAGAGGAAATCGGTCGGAGGTATTTAAAACCCAGGGATTAAGCGATTACTTTCGAAGTTAAGCATTGTTCTCGCTGGTCCATCAATTCAGACCGAATCGATCTCTCCCGGCGGCCGATTTTCACGCGTCGATCCCTTCGTACGGAATTAAAATCTTTATCCGCGTTCCTCTGCCTGCTTCGCTTGATCTCTAAAGATGGAATGAGAGAGACTAACGGACAAGAGAGTTCGATGCGTTCGAAAGTGGGACTGGCGCAGTATGGACAATCGAAAAAAGGGATGGAACGGGAGAAGAGGGTAGAAGGGATGGAAGTGAAAGAGAGTGGGATAGTTCCAGTTCGTGAAACTGCACCGATCATTCGTTTCGAAACGTCCACGTTCGCACCCGGTCTGATAAGCGTCACCAATTTTTTTCATCTTCTATCTTTATCTTTCACACACGACCACCCTCTATTCCTCTCTCTGTCTCTCTCTCTCTCTCTCTCTCTCTCTCTCTCTCTCTCTCCCTCTCCATCTATCTATCTATCATCTATCTATCTATCTATCCATTCGGCTGTCCGTCTCTCTTTCCGCACCTCTCGCAATTTTTTTTCACGCGTCCCTCGATTTACATGCGCCAGCAAAATCAAAGTCCCTTTCGCTTCGAGTCTCACTCTAGTAGACGTCCATGCTTATCCTACTATTGAAGAATGTTTCGCGAAAGACCGATTATTTTTTAATGCTCGTTATGTCACAACATTTTCACTCGGTCCTCGGTATCGGACTGGATCATCGTCCGTTAAACGCATGCACACTGCTCTCAGATACGTGTAAATAAGTTTCGAATATGAATGGATCGATAAATTCATTCCCTTAGAATTCAATGAATGTTGGTAAGATTTAACGAGAAATGTATACGACTACTATGTACTAATATAGAAACCGTACTTCGACATTTGAATTTGTTTCATTACGCGTATCGGAGATTACGCGTTTGCCTGCGTTATACTCGATTAACAAGATTTGTCCGAAAGGTAGCAGTTGCCATTGGTATAATCGGAAAGCGAGGTAAACGGAAGATCGTTTTCCCGCCGGGCAATACTGTGTGCGAGTTGAAATAGTTTTGAAAGGCCAAAGTCTGAGTATGTATCGATCGCAGAGCGTGCGGATTCCCGCATAGCTCGCATTTCCTGCATTTCCTCAACTCGGCTTATCTTACCACGACAGTTAGCCGAAGATCAGGCGGAAAGTGTAACCACTCTCGATCGACCCACATACATTATCACTGGAAATTCGGCTGGGCGTTCTCGCCGATACTCCGAATACTGTTCGCCGCTTCTCGAGCACGGAATGTCGCTATTGCGGACGCGCGTTTCTACGCGTACAAACTACGTAGAGTACGCACGTACACATAGATATATATTACGTGCGTTTACGTCGAGTATTCGAATTCGATCATATATAGTAACGTTGATAATATGTCATAGATGAAAAGTTAATAACGTTAAATGAAGTTACGTTTTGAATGAAATTCGTGATCAAAACGTCCTTTAAACGTCAGATCACATTAGTGTTCATAAAATTAATATAACTACCGTTCGTTATTAAAGATATCAATTTACTGATATAACTACAATTCTTTATTACCTTTTATAAAATAAGACACGATATTTTGTTATTATACTTATTATTTTATCGGATTTCACGATCTTCGATTTCTCATATTTCTTCTTTTAATTTCGTCGCCTCGTAAGTCATTAATTGAAAACTCGAACGTTATATCTTGTTGTACGTCCACTTTAAAACTTTTCCACAAGTTCTTTCTCTACTCACAAGCCCGCCCTTTTTATGAAAATTGATCTTTGACCTGGTCGACGGATAACTAAACATTGATTTTTCAAAAAACGCCGGAAGTACGTGTCGAAACGTAGAATTTCCGGTACAGTGAGTTTGTACGCATACATATACAAAAACACATTTCACTTCCATCTTACGAAAAAAATTCGTTGGCTCGAGCTCACTCGTTGATTTCTGAGTGAAAAACTAATTTCCTAATTGCGATCCAAATTTTTTTCCTTGAAATAGCTGAGAGTTTACTTTTCTCCCTCTTATTCTCTCTTTCTCTCTCTCTCTCTCTCTCTCTCTCTCTCTCTTTTTCTCTTTCTCTTCCTTTTTTCTCACGGTAGCTTCTTCATTTTTGTTTTATCCCTTTGTTCAGAAAACACATTCTCCCTCTCTTTAATGTTCTTCTATAGCTTATCCACACTCATCATAATCGCTACTTCTTTCGTATACGACGAGTGCATTACGAAACCATCTTTATTTTCTCTCCCAACGAGACTTTTACAGATGTTAAAAATTTTGATTGAAGTTTCACGCTGATGATTACAACGAGAGAGAGAGAGAGAGAGAGAGAGAGAGGGAGAGAGAAAATCTTTTCAAATTATGAAAAAAATACATATAGCGAACGTATACATATATTTTCAACGAAAATTTCTAAAATATATATATATATATATATATATATATTTATGTGTATGTGTGTGTGCGTGTATGTGTTTGAAAATTGTTAATTTTTTTAAAAGTTTTTCTCTTATGTTCACGTTTACGTGTGTATATACGTGTTATGCTTAATATAGACAATGCAACTAATCCAAAAGACGAAACAGTAATCCTTGCGACTGAAAACACGTTCGTCCTACAAATCTCTTTAATTACTCCTCTTCCGTAATGTCTCTTGAAATAATACAAAATAAAGGAAACCGAGTAAACACGGCGTGTATTACTTTTCTCGGTATCCTCTATACGTTTCGGTGCTCACGAAACGAGAGAAGGATTACTTTTGTAGACGTCGAGAGAAAATATCAGGGAAACACGCGATTTGAAAAGTATGTACCTAGATAATAAATATCTAAAGAAAAAGTAACATCGAGTAGTCCTCTCGTAATTCTTTGTTACGAATTTCGATTTTTGATATCGACGATAATGCCAATTAATTTATACGAACGACATTGTGGTGTGTTAAAAAAAAAAAAAAAATAATAATAATAATAATAATAAATAAAAAGAAAATTCTTAATTAGTTAATATAACTGGATATGCAACATCGTTGTCCGAGTTGTTTGAAAATCCAAGTAATTTTAAAATAATGGAACGTAAGGAGGTCAGAAGGATAATATACTCCGCTTCGACATACATATAATATAACGAGCGAGCGTTATGCGAAGGTTGAGAACTAAAGAGAAAGAAAGAAAGAGGGAGAAAGAGAGAAAGAAAGAGAAAGGAAAGGCTAAGCGTAGATGTACGATATAACGGTAAAAGAGAGCTGAACGTTTTATTAAGCCGGATACATAAAAACCACAGGCAGCCTCTACGGAGTGCACAAGGCTGCCTGGCTTGTGTACGGAAGAAGAGCTGTAAAAAGGAAAGAGAGAGGAAAGAGGATGGAGGATGGAGGATTGCAGAGCCGGTGGTGGAACGGTCGTATGAAAAGAGTAGAAAAGAAAGGAAGACTCAACGCGTTATAACAAAGGAGCCAGCCAGCAAGAGCTCTGAATTCATCCTCCTCGATTCTGCCTTTTTCACCCCTCTCCTTCTTCCCCTTCCACACCGACAACCCATGATTTTATTTCCCCCGCCAACCTCGACGTCCACGCAACTCCCTCTACTTCGCATTTTTCTACTATCTATAAAGTTAAAAACTAAGGGAACGCTTGCAAAACGTTCGTATCATCCTCACCTTTTACCTTTCCATACCAGGATTTTTTCTCTTTTTTTTTTTTTTTTCTTTTTTTTTCAATCCAAAAAGTGTTCGAGGGTTTCGCTTTATTAAATTGTTAGAGCGCAGCTTGTTACTCGCATGAACTTGCTTTGGGATTGAAACGAACAAACGGATTGATTATTATAATATATTCGCGCTTTTTTTTTTATTTTATTTTATTTTTCATTATACGTACATACCTAGATTGAATATCAAGTGATTTAAAAGATTAAGGATATATAACGATACTATGATACATTATTATTACTTGTACTATTGTATTTATAATTGAAACTCTATTCGAAATACGTTTCTCTATCTAACGATCACAGGAACGACATTAGGAAGTCACAGATCGATCGAACAATACATCCTTTGTACCAAAATGTTCTCTTGAACATACTCTGACCGGTTAAGCAATCGTAGTTCATTCGCATAATCGACTCGTGGATACGTACAACTCAATAGTCGTCTAATTACCAAAACGTTACTCACCGAGCTTTGATTCGCAAGCAATTTAGAGTGAGACTTAAACGAGTGACTAAGCCGTTCAAGCAATCTCATTTATCACTGAATTAATGTGTTTTTGTTTCATTAGACATTCTATCCTTTACGAATTCATGGTTTATTCCGATCGATTTGTTTGAAATAAAATTGATAAAAATTACAAACGTGAAGGTAGAAAAATTTTCCTGTTCTTCTTTGCTATCGAAAAAAAGATATTTTCTAAATCGTTCCAACGATAACAAATACCTCGTTATCGTAAAAATAATATCTTCAAGATTCTCCTCTCCAACACGACGATCTTTTTTAGTTCAAAATTCTAACACGAAATACCAATAAAGTGTAAAACGAATATTCAAGTTGTTCGAGTCTCGTTTCTTAAATCCTTAAATTGCAATAGCTAAACGCAAAACACGTAGACACTTACCAATGTCAATAAATTCGTCGTCTGAAAATTTTCCTCTTAAAACGTAAACATCGCGTACGTGAATCGTATCTCACTCGAATTACTTTCTATTTCGAGAAATGATGTCTCTATAACTTTTGACCGATTTGTACTTCTCAAAGGATCGATCTATCGTTCAATTTCCTAAATACATTCAAGTCCAGTAAGATGAGATGGTTCCGAAGAACGTTATAAATATCTCGAATGTTAGTAGAAACAGTAACTTCTTGAATAGTGTCAAAATAAACCACTCGATATTCATAAAAAAAGAAAAAAGAAAAAAATGAATATAAAACATGATTTCTCTGTGATATAATAAGTAGATCCGTAATGTCGTTCGAAATTTTGACACGCTACGTTGTTTGAAGAACATTTTGATCACGTAATCCTGGAAAAAAAATATGTTTTATCGTTATAAATCAAAGAAATACATTCATGAATGTTTCGAATATAGGTTCTTCTTATTTTCCCACCTTCCCCACTGGCAAAATATCAACGATACGTAGATATAAACCTACAGATAGAAAGAATCAATAAATTTTATGATTCCTTTTTCTCGCATGCCAGTCTCACGCATCACAAATGTATGTACGGTCTTTTGCAAGCTCAGCAACGATCGGTCCCTTCTTCTTGATCTACTTATGGACTAAGCATATCGTAGAAAAAATGAAAAAGAAATAGAAAATCTTTTTTCGAATAATATTAATACGAATCATCAATATTGTTTTAACTAACGTTAAGAGAAAGAGAGATAAAAGAGTTCGACTATAAAATTAAAATTATGCGAAGTATTCACTGTCACTTACATGTTGAAAATCACATAGTTAAATACTGCTATTTCAGTGTTTTACAATAACATTCTTTTATGTCTTTTTCATTACATATATCCTAACTACGATATCAAGCGCTATTATATGAAAGGTGAAAACATGTGATTTTAACGTGATATGATATTAATCTATTTCAATCTTAAATGTTTTATACGTTTACATGTCTCTTTCCTCTCTCTCTCTCTCTCTCTCTCTCTCTCTCTCTCTCTCTCTCTCTCTCTCTCTCTTTCTTTTTATCATTCACGAAGCGACGATCGTTGCTATAATACATCAATTTTTCGAGTGGAGTGCTCACGTTAGTTTATTTGTCAAGAATTAGACATCATACATAGTATCAAAGAAAAATGTTTTAACCGCAAACCAACGAATAAATAGAGACATGTCCGTTGTTTCTTTATGCGAACGAATAATTGGTACGATAATAAAGAGTAAAATAGTGGAAAAAGAAAAGACTTATTGAGGGTTTTTAAGATTTTCAAGTGTAGTCAATAAGTAGGATCAATGCTACGAAAGAAAACAACCGAATAAAGCTTGATTGACTCCTTGGAAGATTCTGAATTGTCTCTGACAATCCGCTATTCTATCTTGAACACTATCCTATTTACTTTTTTCTCCTTTCTTATCTCCTTTTTTTTTTCTTTTCCAATTTGTCTATCCATTCTAATCCATCATTCCCTTTACTTTTCTTCCAGCAAATTCTCCGAACGAGAAAGAGAGACATTGAGGGTAAAAGAAGAATAAATGAGTTTATGTTCGATTGTGAATCGATAGAAACGAATTTGACGTTAACGTTAATGTTAACGTACCGACATATTTCATTCAGCACTTTATACGTCGAAATTCAATTCAACTATTCGAAATTTGCTATTCGAAACTGGTAAATACGTACGAATCTCTATTTGCATAATAAGACAGCAAACTTTAGATTGCGCCTGCTAAGTGGCAAAGTACGCATTGTTAATTTTATAGGCCGATTCCAGTAACATGCAACTTCTGTCTCTAGATATATATACATGTACGATCAACATAATATTGATCTCATATAATTTGAGTCGCGCTTAAGATGAATGTGCACTGTTATATTTTGCAAAAAAGACTTATACCAAGACGAAGAAATGTAAGCAAAGATTACTCGAGAAATTACGACGAATTACGATTATATCATTAAACGTAGATATATTTTTTAATACATAGAAGTAAAACAATAAAATTGCTCCCAAAGTAAAAATATTCATTTCGATTTTACGTTTCACCTTTGATTGAATAATTCCATTATTCGTATAATAGTCCATTCATTTTATTGTTTTAACCATCAACAAAGTCATTTCGATTTTTGTGTGTTACATATCCAATTTATTACGCTGATATAAATTATTTATAATGATTATGATACACTGATTTATGATTTATAATATTTAACTATCATATTCATAACGATTCGTAATAATAATGCTTATTATATATATATAAAATAAAATTGTACTATGTACTTTTATATATATATATATATTTTTTGCAAATATATTTATTATATATATATATATATATATATATATATATATTTTGCAAATATATTTATTATATATATATATATAAAAGTACATAGTACAATCTTATTTATAATAATTGATTCAGTACTCGAAACTTATCGAAATTTAATTCATCATTAAATCGTTATTTGTAAAGCTTTATAGAAGTAATTGTTTATATTTCAATACGTAAAACGAAAACATCGAAAAAAACAGCAGATAAGTAGACTAAAAAGTAAAGAGGATAATTTCAAACAACACCGGATAAATAAGTAAGGTTGTTGAGGTAACAATGAGAAAGAGAATTCTTTATCCCAATAGAACTTGTATTTCATGTGAAACGTGGTCTTGTAGCTCTCACCGTCTAAATGAAGATGAAAGTAATCCTCTTAAAACTTCGTAACATTTCGAAACATGCCAATGGCGTATGTATTTGCAAAGTCGAGATAAAAATCGACTGTAGAGAGATGAGTCTATTATAAAACCATTTATTAATAAGATGAGAAAGAAAACAAAGGGTAGCGCTTTAGATAGAAATTAGTAAATTAATGAAATTCCATGCCAACGTAATAATTTCCCGAGGAATAATGTCGATGAACGAAGCTCTCTCTGTCTCTCTCTCTCTCTCTCTCTCTCTTTCCCTCTCATTCTCTATCTTTTTCGCATTAAAAAAAAATTAATCCGATAATTACGCTCTGCATTCGCTTTTAAAGCGAAAGGAGAAATTTCTCTGAGCGTACGGTAAAATCATCACTTTGTAACGATGCCTGTAACCGTTGTTATGTCGTTAATATTACCTCGTAGTAACATGGTCGGTCTGGTTACGTCGCAAGTTCCTCGATGGTTTGCAAGTTTTCGTTGCAAATGTTTCATCGTCGATGGTATATTAACCCGTGCTAAGTTTAAGCCATTTGAATCCTCGATAGAGATGTTCAGGGCTTAGCGGCATAGTGATGGGCGTAACTTTAATAGCGCACAGATTTAACAGACTGCGGCTTGGTAGTAACTTTAGAACGACGTATCTCAATACTATACTAACATTTGTGGAAACCTCAAAAAGGGATCTCTGACTCTATTGCCACGGCGATTCGTGGAAATACTTTTGTTTCTATTTTCTCTTCATTTCTCACCCTCTTTTTCTCTTTTTGTTTCTCTCTCTCTCTCTCTCTCTCTCTCTCTCTTCCCCTCCCCCTCTCTCCTTCCCAAAACTCAACAGATCCAATTCAATTAGTAGTAGAATGTTATTTTATTTGATCATCGTAAAAGTTTGATTCATTTAAAAATAACATATACCTAACATAACCTAAAATATAGGAATAGCTATCTTAGTCTCTTACAATTAATCCCGTTGACTTACGAAGCTCGGGGATTACCTCAAACTTTTCGTTGCATTTAACGCTTACGAAGTCTGGCGAAATGTTCACTCTCATAACATCAACTTCTTCCGTTTGTAAGACCCAAAGGGTCATCCCTTCCTATCTTAGGATTACAAAGTTTCCGTTTATATTCGTACAATAAATACCATAAAACCTAAAGAAATAATCTTACGATAAGAACGTAACATTTTTCCAATAAGAATAATATGATTTTAACAAAGCTTATGAAATTGTATTATTATCGTAGCGATTTAAAATTTGATTAATTTATTTTATAAACTATCTCATAATACCAACACGAATAAATGATTCTCAATGTATCGTACTTACATTAATTTATCTCGTGTTACATTTAAATACAGTAGAGATTATTAGAAACTTTTAAGTACAGCAACACGTACGAATTTTCCTACCTTCAACAGGGTGGTTGACAAGAAACTTTGTAATCCTGAAGCAACACGTTTGGAAGTAAGTAGATATCTACACAAAAACAAATCTTAAACTACGAAGGGAAGCTTGCAACATTCTCGAAATTTTCTACGGCAATCCAACGAGATAATAATGTCATACAATCGACTTAAATACATATAGATAAATAATTTACAATTGTAACTCATCCATTTAATCTTATATTAAAAAGAAAAAAAAAAGAAATAAATAAAAAATGAAAGATAGTATTACACAACGATATCGATTTGCATGAAATTGAAGAGTCAGTAAACGTTTTGAATTGTAGAACGATCTTTATTATCTCATTTGTTGAAGGAGAAAAAGCTAAAACACGAAACATTTTCGCAAGAAAGCATTTCCATTATCAAGACAACGTGTTTTCTCGCGTTACATTAAGGTAGACGAGTATATTTCAGTAGAAGTGCATTAAAGCGCAATACGTATAAGTTCGTACCTTGCATTTGCATTTAGGGTGGAAAAACAAATGGTGACATATTCGGAGGTATCTTGTTTCACGTACTCAAGAATGTCGGTTCTCTTGTTTCAGGCTCTAGTGTACCGAGACGGAAACTTAGTTTCTGGATCCTTGGAAGCATTAGTGCAGCACATGGTACCAACCGAGGAATATTATCCCGATCGTGCTTACCTCTTTGCCTTTTTGCTAAGTGCAAGGCTCTTCATCAAACCGCACGAGCTATTGGGTGAGGTTTGCGCCCTTTGCGAACATCAGCAAAATCTGAATGGAGAAGGCGGCAAGGTGAGTTCTCGTTTTCTCTATTATTCTTCTTCTTTCTTCTTTTTTCTCTTAGATATGCCTACCGCACCGCCAAGAACACGACTGGTACCGTGCGTTATCGTCTCGTCGCATCTCACCTCGACCTCTCCCCTCTTCTTTCATCGTTCATCTTACCTCTCCTATTCTTTTCGAAGATAACGAGTTTTTTTTTGCTGCTTTACGAATCAATTTCTAGGTCGACATTATCCTATCCAAGGAGACAAGGAAACAACACGATTATAAATATCACTTTATATGTGTTTATAATTTGGTTATAACTTGTAATAAACATTATTTAAAGGTCATTTTAAATCGTTGTTCGTAGATATTATATACAAATGAAAAACGTTTCTCATCATATATATATATATATATATATATGTGTGTATGTGTGCGTGTGTGTGTATATATATATATACATACGGTAACGATTTAATAATATATATAGAATACAAATTTGATTAGAAAGAAAATCTAATGGAAGATATAACGAAAAAATATAAGAGATATCTATTAATAGATATGTCATTTTAGAAATTCTCTTAACGAAAAAGAAACGAGGAAATAAGAAAAATAAGAGATATATTAGTAGTGATTGTAGTAGTAGAAATAATAATAATAATAATGTAGTAGATGGTAGGAGAAAATGCAAATTAATCAAAGTAACACGAGGATTTTGCAGGAACGACTACACCGTTTCGTGCCCCGACTGGTGCAGCTGTTGGCAGAATGGACGGAGACTTTCCCGTACGATTTTCGGGACGAAAGGGTGATGGGTCACGTCAGATCCATCACGCAGAAGGTCGCTGCGGTCGACGCGGCCGCGCGACAGGAAGTTTCGGCCTTGCTTCAAAACTTACTTCTCAGGCTCACAGCCCTCGAGAGGTACGAGGAGGGCCTAGCGAGATTGGCCACCGAGGCGGCGACTGAACAGCTCACGCAGGTTCGTAACTTTGAAACGATGAAGCGTCATCCTCCGACGACCGACCAACCTACCAACCACGATGGATCTCTGAATTTTAACGGCACGAATGCCCGCGTGTCGTCTAACATGTAACTTGCTAATTGAAGCGAGCTCACGACTCGTGTGGTAAACTCTCTTACTTCTCTCTCTCTCTCTCTCTCTATATATATATATATATATATATATATATATATATATATCTTTATCATCTATAACATCGGATAAGCCATCGGAGAAGCGAAGGAACACTCGACTCCACGATCGAGTCTTTACCGAGGGATTTGCGAGTCGTTGCGGGAAAGTGGAAAATTTCCGGTCCAAAATTCATCGATCGAATTTCAGGTCGCGGCTTATGAAGATAAATCGAGGACATCGAGAGATTCGATGTAACCGAACGTTCGTTCCGTGTTAATATTCCATAGGCATTTTCGCTAATCCACCATTGGCTCTTCTATTCCTCTCACGCGTATGGATTTTATAGTCATATAATACTTGCTTCGCAATCGTGTTTATAAGCACTCATCCCATGCTCATCGGTCACCTTTACGCCTCTCTCTCTCTCTCTCTCTCTCTCTCTCTCTCTCTCTCTCTCTCTCTCTCTCTCTCTCTCTCTCTCTCGTGCACGCGAGTTCTCTTGGTCACTATCCTGTAGATGCGTGCACTTTGCGCAGTTAGTGTAACAGCGTTACTCCGCTAGTTTCCCTAGTACGAGAGACAGTAACTATTCCGTTAATTTGATTACCGTACACCTATCTGCCACCGCGTGTAACACCTGCTAATGGCTAATTTGCAACTGCATTAGTTAGTTAAATATGCCGACGCACGGGTCAAGCTCGCGTCCTCGCTTGGTCCTTAATCAGGAGGAAATTGCGTGAGCACCGGTATTACACCCTGCTGATATCCGTGGGTACTGTCCAGAGAAATTGCCAATGCGTAACTTATGTCCTTGAACGTTCCCAAACTTCGTTAACAGCTACAGCATTAGAGAATTTTCGACGTTAGCTAACTCGACAGTAATTACGAAAATGTTACGTTCGGATATGTAAATGTTATGCAATTCGTTCAGAGCCAACACGAAGGATTTCATTATGTTGGAAACGAAAAGTTCTTTTTCCGAGAACGATAGAAATCAGTTAACAAACGTTTCTAGAAGCCAATAACAGCAAGGAATTCTTTCAAGGAAACGTAAAAACTACAATGGAATCTTTTCTCATGAAGCTAACAAAAAAAACACAACGTATGTATCAATAATTTATCAAAACTTTGAACGTTTCTTAGAAATAAATATGGAAAGGAAAGAAAATGAAAAAAAAAAAAAGAAAACATATAGAAGAGAAAAAAAAGAAGAATAAAAAGAAAAAGTATACCTAGGCAGTTTCTCTTTCAAAAATTATTGTTAAGGTATATAAAATATATGAGAAAATTTTATTGATAGAAACAAAATACGTGTGTCCATTACATTCATAAAAAATATGAGTTATAACTTTACAAATTCTCAGTTTATGAAAGAGGAATATGAACGAATTAATTCGAAAAGATGGAAACTAGCTTTATCTCAAACTTTACGTTAGTCGCACGAAGCAGATCTCTCGTTTACAGGCGAACTCGTCGACAAATCGTGCCACTTTTGCATAGTGGAGTGAGTTTCGAAAAGTACGACGAACTTTGAGTTTAATAACCTGAAGCCTTTGCAAAAGAATTCACTGTCTTTCTCTTTCTCTTTCTCTTTCTCGATGGGCCTGCTCCTTTTATACATCTTCCTTTTTTTATTTTATTTTCTTTTTTCTTTTTTTTTTTTTTCTTTTTTTTTTTTTATTTTCATTTCTCAGTTTGCTCTTCGGCATCGAAGCTTTTTTCCTCCTTCTTTTCTAGCCTTTCTCGTTCGGTACTACTAAGTAAGCGATTCAATGCACATACATACATACATACGAGCGGAGCTAAGGAAAAACCGCACCAAAGGAAAGTTCGCTTTGGCCGCTTTCTACGGATTAAATCTGTTGACGTAACGACACGAGAAACGTTTTAAAGATCATTCGTCTGTTTTAAAAGACCATCCCTTTCGGGAAATGCCACGAGAATTTTCATTAACATTATCGTCCTATTGACGTGATTGAAAGATCGTAAAGAAATAAAAAGAACCGCGTTTCCATGTAAATAAATAGATCAATTTTAACGGAGGAGGAAAAGAAAAAAAGGAAAAATTTGTTTTATAGTAATTTGAGATAATATGATTTTGGAAGATTACTTTTGCCTTTCTCGGTTTTTTTTTCTTTTTTTTTTTTTTTTTTTTAATATTTTATCAAAATATATTTCCATTAACAACGAAGAGATATTTGGAATATTTTACTATATAACCATCTAACTATAATTTTTTAATAAAATATCGAAAGTTCTTCGATACGTTGTACCTCGCAAAAGTATTGAATTAAAATTGATATGGACTTTCGAGGGATAAGAAAAACGCATTCGAACGTGACAAATCAGTTTCTTGCCCGGATGAATCCCATCAGCGCGTTAGTAAGTCCTCGCTAATCGTTACTAGCAAGAAACTTGTGCAAATTCTGCTCACGGTACTGCAAGCGTACCGAACAAGCGCAACTTATCGGCGTATTCCACAACGTGCCCCTCTTCCACGTCTCACCCGCACAACCCTTCATCTAGAATCGCAGGTTGCATAACGTCGTAATACACTTCTTTGGTCACCATCGGATTATCTCGCGCTCGAAACTTACGCAGTTTCCAAGTTCGTATTCGGAAAGAGGTAAATGCGCTACGTTCACTCCTATGCCGATTAAATTTCGTTAACGATTTCGAGAACGGACTCACTGAATTTCTCTTCTCCCTTAGAAACCAACGATACGACACTTTTAATAGTTCACTTTCAAACAAAGTTTAATTAAAATTTAGCTTTCAGTATGATATTCGTACGTGAGAATAAGTACTTATGTAGCTTACGTTTGAATAAAGAAATGGATAGAAAAAAAAAAAGAAAAAGAAAAAGAAAAGAAAATATCTAATGTTAGACGCGATCTTTCATCAATGTTACTCTTTATTTCACATCGTTAATATTTGAAAATGATTGCAATATCTCATGCGTTTCGAAATAACAAATCTTCGTGATTTTACGATATCCTTTATCGCCGTATAATAAGAAGAGAATCTCACGTTTTCACGGGTTCCCGTTGAAATACGTGAAAGGAGAAAATAATCGCGATCCGCCATACGGAAATTTCTCTTTGCTTTAACATAATATAAGGATTTGATGTATTTCGACGCATAATAATTCGACCGAATAAAAGAGACTTTGAGGTTCCATTTGCTTCTAAACCGATCACGCAGCTCAGCGATCTCATTCGTCGTCGCTTTGGACATTCCGCTTTGCCCAAGAAAAGTACGTACCTACATTTTGTTCGAACTTCTCTCTTTCTGTCTCTCTCTGTCTCTCTCTCTCTCTCTCTCTGCTTTTACCATTTCTATAAGGTGCTTCTATAAAATCATTCAGTTCGTTCACTTTAGCCTTAATAAAATTATTTTTATATTGAAAAACGAGAAATATTTCCTTTGAAAAAAGAAAAGGAAAAAAAATCAAGTTAAATGTTCCTATTGACTATTATATTTTTTTCTTTTTTGTTTTATCTATAAAGAATAATTCAAACTGTCTCTAGCAAAGCGAGCTTAAATGTACACCCGGTATATATACATATATATATATCTATGCATTTACATATGCATATATACTTATACACGTACATCTACATATTTATATTTAACATACGAAACGTGAAAAAAAGAATGAGAGAGAAGGAAAAGAAGAAAAAAGACAGAGAGAAATAAAGAAAAAAAGAAAAGAGAAATGAAAAAAAGGACAAAGAAAAAGAGAAATAAAGAAAGAGAAAAAGATTGCACAATCTTGATACCCTTCGGTCTCGTACGCAAGTTTCTTTGAAGATTGTGTCGCGCCATCAATATTGTTGGAAAATCAAATGAAACAGGACGACCGAAGGATCGAATAAAGGAAAATCTCGAAAAGATACGACGTCCTCTCTTTACCAGTCAAAGTGAGGAAAAGAGAAAGAGCTTTGAAGGTGATCGAACCTAAACGCACTTTGACGTCCGACAAACCGAACAATGCACGTTATTTTCCATTTCTTATCTCTTATCCCTTTAGTTCTTTCTTTTTTTTTATCATTTTATTTCGTATTACGAAACAGGTCAGAATTTTCTTGAAAATTTCACGACGCCTTTCAACTCCTAAGATGAACCGGTGAAAATCGTTAAGCTTTTTAAAACAGGTTAAAATACTTGCTGAAAACAAAGATAGAAAAAGAAAAGGTCGTTCTTTTACGAACCAATTAGACGGACCAATAAAATTAGTAGGACCAATTAAAACGTTGCATTATCGATGCTCTTTCCTCGTCTTTCGATGTTACAGTGTAAATCGTAGACGAGTAATTAAAAATAACTCGTCGAGCAATTACCTATAGGTACTCAACGAACGAATTCGTTGCTAATTACCATTTCTCTGCTTCAAAAAACAACTACTATTGATCATTTCCTAACAAGTCGATTGCTTAACGATGTAACTAACTAAATTGACAAAGATCTATTTTGTTATCTCTTTTTATCTCCTTTTTTTTTTTGGATTGTCAACTTTGGTCGTCCAACTTGAAGAAAATCTAGGTCGGGCTTTCGTCGTTTCTCAGCTCTTCTTGGCTCTCTTTGTCACGTGTCATTTCTTTTTATCTCGCATAGCCGGAAAAAATAGGTTAATAGCGACGATATTTCACGTACACGCTTGACAACATTGCTCTCATCTACGCATAGAGCCACGCAAGGATGTCCGTTGCCGATCTCTATGTTTATATATGTATGTTTGCAATGGTAACGAATAAGTGGTTTCTATCCTTCGGTCTACCAACCAGAAGAAAGCAAAACAAAACATGGAATTTGGAACTAATCTGATTTTACTTTTGCGCTATACGGTACAACAACCTCTTCTCATTCGGAATGAAAATAAATAATAAAGAACATAAAAACTAGAGACAGAAATGGAAATATAAATAATAGAGGAAACTATGGTAGTGGTCAGACCAATCATAAGACTTGTCTTGCTTATGGTTTTCTGCATTTCCTTCGTTCTCCTTTGCCAAAGCATGTCGAGTCTCCTTTTCCTCGTAAGATATATGATCATTCATGAAAGTACGATATTATATATATATATGTTTCAAAGAGAGAAAGAAAGAGAAAGAGAGAGAGAGAGAGAGAGAGAGAGAGAGAGAGAGAGAATAAATGTAAAGGATATTACTGCAATCAGATAATAACAAAAAGTCTGATTACTCTTATGCAACATTTGAATGAAATGGAACAGCAACTTTAATAATTATCGTATTACTATCAATTTTAATATGTTGCATGGACAAATAATATATGTCTTTTTATAACATAATTTAATATATTAAAAACAATGTACACTGAATGATACTAAATTACAGAATAATATATTGCGAGGCAACTTGATGACCGTTAATGACCGAATCAAAAGTCAAAGAAATTCTTCATAATGTATTTTCCATTGGTTTCAATATTCTAATGATATAAAAAAAAACGTAGTTCGTGAAGGGAATAATAAAGGATCTACAAAAATAATACAATAAACTGCTGAAACCTGATCGATACGAATCGAACTAACATCGTGCGCGATATGTTATGTCGTTCTAATTAATATCAACAAAAGCGTAATATTTTCGGTAGCGTAAACAACACAAACGATTCATTCTCCTTCTCGTTCATTGATTTGGAAAGAAAAAGAAATGATAACAGGCGTTCGATTGCCATGGGGAGGAATAATATGAAAACGGAGAAAAGTCTATGAGAAATGACAGAAGTTTTGTTCCTATCTCGAAAACCGAGAGTACTTAAACTAGAGAGAGAAAGAGAGAGAGAGGAAAAGAGATATTCGAAAGAATTGCACAGAACAGTGGAAACGGTCAACGAAGAAGAGAGTTGGTCAGACGAGTCTCAGGGAACCACAGGGAGGATATAAATTTTAGCAAGGTCGATTCGGCCAATAGTGAAAAAGGAGAGATAGAGAGAGAAAGGGAAAGAAAGAAAGAGAGAGAGAGAGACAGAGAGAGAGAGGTGTCTCGAGTACCGAGCTCCCAATCTCGCGAAAATATACGACTGGAGCTATCTGTCGGCGTTTTTCTCTTTCATTCCCAAGACCATAGCGGAGCGAATGTCGGCGTAGCCCTGAGAAACGAACGAATCGGAAAAATCTTTATTAAAGAGGCACTACTCTCTTTTCCATCTCTCTCTCTCTCTCTCTCTCTCTCTCTTTTTTCTCTCTCTCTCTCTTTCTTTCTCAAAGAAGAAATATTTTCTATTTACACTTCTCGAACGTTATCGTATCTCTTTTGCCATAAGGAGTTACCAGTGCCCACATCGAATTACGAGATTGTAGTATAAAACTTCAGTGAAATCGCTGCCATGTTTGTTTCCGTACCATGTCCAACCAGCCGTAACCTTTTGGAGACCACGATCGTCCGAGAGATAAGAAGTTGGTCTTGGCTCGAATGTTCGCGCTCGACAAAGCGCGAGACGCGAAATTGAAAGAGAACAGACACGGGCGACGAGCGTCGCGACAATACTCTCTCTTCTTCTCGCGTTCTCCTTCAAGAAGACGCCAATCCAGGCCATCTACTACTTTTCTTTTTCTTTCTTTTCTTTTTCTTTTTCTTTTCCTTTCTATTTCTTTTCCTTTTCCATCTCGTACACGTCAAGCCCCCTATCCTTTTTTACGTTTTCATTCTTTTCACTTCGTATCTATACGAAAAAGTATCTTCCATACTCTCTCACAAAGCATTTCTGTCACTTGGTCTTTCAGGTGGACATCACCGAGCTTTGCCCCTCTGCTACAGTACTGGCACAACAATTGACCCACGTGGAACTCGAGAGGCTCTCTTACATCGGCCCCGAGGAATTTGTCCAAGCATTCGCTAAGGTAACATTCATGACACAAAAATGCCTTTTCTTTTCATTCCAAACAGAGACTTCTATAGGAAGAGAAAGCATAGAAAAATAAATAAAGAAATAAAATAGAACATTGTTAATATCGAGATGTCGTCGAATCGTCTTTTCCAGGAATCTCCCCACTTGGAAACATCTTTCAAGGACATGAAAAAGACTCGGAATCTTGAGTCTTATGTCCAATGGTTCAATCGATTGAGTTATTTCGTAGCGACCGAAGTATGCAAGGTAATAAATCAAAAACTTTGTTCTATATCTTTTAACATTCTCGAAACTAACTTCATATTTTTTTCTTTTTCTCTTTTTTCTTTTTTTTTTTTTTTTTTTTTTCTTTTTATCGTAGCACGCAAAGAAGAAACAACGCGTGCGCGTCGTAGAATATTGGATAGAGACCGCTCGAGAATGCTTTAATATCGGCAACTTCAACTCACTGATGGCGATCATTGCCGGTCTGAATATGTCTCCAATATCGCGGCTGAAAAAAACGGTAAGTAGAAGCTCGAAAAGAGCATTAATTGCGGAACCAAAAAATCGGCTATCTGTCGATTAAGTTTTGAGCATATAAGGGATGAAATAGGTAGGAGAAGAGAATAATCGATGTAGCTATGTCGTAATTGCTGAAACGGAAATCGTCGCTCGTTACACTCGTTTACACGCAGTGTAGTCGCGTCAAGAGAAACTCGTGCCTGCGTGAAAGAGGAATGGAAGCGTATACTAGGCTGGAAGAGAGGGGTAACCGGAAGCAATAAGCGGCCTGTAATCCTCGTAAATCGAGCGTGGCGCCGCGACGCCGTTCCCGCGACGCCATACCCGCGTTACTGGTGACAAACCAGCGAGAATCGAATTTCCGCATCGTTTCTCTCTGTTCGAAACGGACGGGTGACTGAAAGAACAAATGAACGAATGATATAAACTAGAAAAGGAAAAGAAAAAAGATTCGAAGGAGATGATAAGAAAAAAAAAAAATAGAGAGAAGAAAAAGAAGAGATGCGAAAGTAGAGAGAGAAAGGAATGTTACAAGAAGGAGAGTGAATTTTTCAAACTAACTTAATTGAATTTCTCCGAAGGGATTTCTCAACATCGACAAGAGTGTATAACATAAACTACTTGAACAACCATATTGCTAGTTGCAAAGAGAATTTGAAAAAAAGGAAATGATAGAAAATAATAGAAGTAATACTAAGAGAAATATAAGCCATGATATGAATTAATCGAAAAGTTTAACATCGACCCAATCGTTTCATCATCTTACGTTATCGTCACTCTTTTTCTCTCTTCTTTTCTTTTTCTTTATTTTTATACGAGCTGATTAACCTGAAATATTGAATGTTACATATATACGTGTACAAATTCTGACAAGAATTATTTATAGATCTTGATTTTTGATACGTCCTTACAAATAAAAGTTCCATCATAGATAAGATAAAAATAAAATTACTCGTATTCGCGAAGATTGATGTCAATAACGTATTCAAATTTATCAGTAATATAAGACATTTAAAATAGATCTTATATACATACATATATACATACATACATTCCTAGTCGCGATGTGACATACATGAAATGACCGACTTGCCAGAGGCTACGCCCTTGTACGAAGCTTGAAAAGAACGAAAATGACGTTCTGATTGCAATGTCTGACTATGCGCTTCTCTTGCTTCTTTAATATCGCGACGCTATTCCTCTCTTTTGTACAATGATTTTTTTCCTCTTTTTTTTTTCGCATCTCCGCTTTTCCAAACATCCTCACGAGAGATATACAGGCGAAAACACGTATGATTATCGTGAGGTTCTTTGAAGAACTGAAAAATCTCATTTAATAAAAACTACTGCGCAAAATTTCTTACGTGATTAACTGAAATATCGAAAAAATATATATGTATATATTTAAGAGAATGTTTAATATAGAACCCGAAAACAAACAACATAATTACATATGACATTGAAAACAAACAACATGATTACAAACAACATTGATACATCGTTCATTATTATGTTCATGACTATCGATAAAAACTTTTTAATTTAACCCTTACGATAGACAACACATTTATAACAAAAAGTATTCGTAACTATTGATAAAAGAACTCACTCAAAAGATATTTTAATCGAACGAGAAAGAAAGAAATTCTACAAGAACGAAATGAATCGTTTTGATCGCTCGTTGTTAATTTCTGTCACATTGGACCAAACTGACATAAATCTTCCATTCTCTTATGATTCTCATTCGTCGAAAGAGGATGGTCAAGCGCTATTCGAGGTTCATTTGGTCACGCTGACTGATTTATGTAGGGTACGCAGGAAATAATTACAGCCTTCTCTCATCCTTTCATCCCTGGACCAATAACCATACAAAGTATGAGATACCAACTTCGTAATTTTCGTTAATGAAAATTTATTGCTCGTATTTATTAACCACGTTCAGTTTTCTTCTCGCGCAGAAGGCCAAAGAATCGATGAAAAAAATTTATGTGAACGCATTTTCGACTTGTATGAATCTTATGAACTGACTTCTATGAATTTTGTGTGATTTCCTTGATTTTTTCCCTTTATACCCTTCCCCCTCTCTTTCTTTTTTTTTTTCAATTCATTTTCAGAAGAACGAGAGAATTTACAACGCGCGTCGTTTAACCGCGCAATTAGCGCGATTTTCATTACGACGCGAAATATCGCCGTGTGAATTCTCGTTTATATTTTTTTTGTTTATCTCCTCTCTCTCTCTCTCTCTCTCTCCCTCTCTCTCTCTCTCTCTCTCTCTCTCTCTCTCTCTCTCTCATATTTTTCTTTTCTACCACGGAAAATCGTACGAACACCACCGAAGCGTTTTACTTCGACGAGAATGTGTTGATATAGTCGAAATTTTTATCGCCCGAATAATTACGATGAAGTATTAAAAAAAAAGCCTCGCGAGGTTAGATTTGAACGAGACGGTCGTGTGTATATATATGATAAATGCGTTTACATATATATATATACCTACATATATATGTATGCATGTATGTGTGTGTGCGTGTGTGTGTATGTATGTATATACGACATATCATATAGCAAGATGAAACGGAAATCGAAACCTCTCTTTCGTTTCATGCAATATTCCTTTTGCGCCTGATGTTCCGTTCAGAGAGCATCGGAAAGTTTCGACCTTTCCGAGAGCATAAAAGGATACATAGCACTCAAAAATAATTCATTTACTACACGAGGATAATTTAAAAATGACGTCTTTCTCTTCGTCTTCATTTCTTTTTTCGAGAAAAAGAACGATACTCAAATCATTATCGTATCTCTTTCTCTTTCTATTTCTATCTCGAATTATTATCATCAAAGAACGTAATTATCTTCAACTGCAATGATTCTTATCCTCACCAGCATAGAAAGAGAAAGAAAGAGAGAGAGAGAGAGAAAGAGAGAGAGAAAGAGAAGGGAGGTTGAAAATGACCGAAAGAAAAATTCTGTCGCGCGGGAATGTTCAAAGGACACGATGTGAACAAAATTTAAATTGAGTTTCAAAGAAGAAAAAGTCACCAAACGAAGAAGAGTAGTCTCCGTGCTTTCAAGTTCATGATACTTATCTTTTCGCTTCATTTTTCCTCTGATAATATCTTTGAAAAGCGAAATGAACTTTAAGAGTAGAGTAATACGAAACAACATTCGAATCAAATTACGAAAAGTCTGGTTCATCTATTTATCTATAATGAACTGTTCCTCGGTAAAAGAAATTTAGAATTGATATGTCGTAAGTGTTTTGCTTATCTGTTTATCTTATCGAAGATTTTCTTTACGTTTTCTTTGAGCACTGTTTTTTATCATCTACTACGTATATATATATATATATATATATATATATATATATATATATATATATATATATATATACATATGTACGTAACTACATGTAATACGTACGCCATGCTTTTCTCCCTCAGCATCTAGTTTCAATTTACTGCTTCTGCAGACTCGACGATTTTTCTTGCTTTTTTCCTTTCTTCCCGCGTAACAAGGAAAGCATTTCCTTGAGAATTCGAATCGAGTCGCGCCAAGAGAAATGGCTCCCACGGCGAACGCCGAAAGGATTCTCTCGTTTTCAAGTATGGAAAGGAATTAGTTACTAGATCGAATTTCAAATTCTATTCTGTTTCTTTTTTTTTTTTTGTCCTTTTCTTTTTCTTTTCTTTTCTTTATATTCCGACTTCCTCGTTAAACTGATCGTGGTGTATTGAGAAACAGGAGTAGCGTTAAATGTGTTTCCGGAATAAATAAGAGTAAGTTATCATTGTCAATAAGAGAACTAAGGACATCGATAAAGAGAAAGATAAATAAGATATATCTATCGATTAATGATTGATTCGTCTTTTCTAATTTTTCTCCTTTTCGAGAAAGAAATTCATTCAACGGTGTTGGATACATAAAAAAAAAAAAAAAGAAAAGGAAAAAAGGAAAAAAGAAAGAAAGAAGAAAAGAAAAACAAAATGAGAGAAAAAAACGTCATTCAACGAGACAATGGCGCGTCTCGATGGAGGCATCCGTTTCAAGGAATGTTGCTTAATATCGTTGCCAACGTTCAGGATGAATGTCGAAGGAGGACATCGATAACAACGACGGAAACGGTGCGTTCGTCCGAGCGTTAATTCTTGAATTAAAGCACGGAGATACGAGAGGACAAACGGAATTAATTCCAACGTCTACGTCCACGTCGACGACATTTTCGTCGTCCTCGAAGTTAATTTAATTACGTCGTCGCAGTTACCACGACTGGTAGAGAAGTACGGGGGTACACCACAGGAAACTCGCAGTGCGCGACGCGCTTGATTTCGGTCTGAAATTATTTCGAGTACGTCACTCTACTTCTGGACATAATACGCAGGAAAACGTGTCGTGTGACACTCACGAGTAACGTGTATCTCTATCTCTCTCTCTCTCTCTCTCTCTCCTCTTCCTCTTTCTCTTTCTCTCTCTATCTTTATCTCTATCTCTATCTCCCCTTTTCTTTCCGTTTCGTTCTACTTTTCTTTATAACATCATAACCGAGCTTCAATGTTTCCACGAGACTTCTTCCACTTTCATTGTTTTTTTTCTTTCTTTCTTTCTTTCTTTCTTTCTTTCTCCTTCAACCTTTTCCTCATTTTGTTTAAACAGATCATTATGTGCTTCTAGTGCTTCGTAAAATATTGCCGCTTCGACCATATTCGTTTCAAGCTCGATAGCATACGTTGTTAGAAATTCTATTCGCGAGTTCGGCACGTTGCCAAGTTCAAAGGCTCTTGACCCTTCCAATCCGCCTTACAGAGACTGGATCTGAAAATGGAAGATAGATCGAGAGATGGGTAAGGCAAAACGAGAAGAACCACTAACCTAGGAGGGAATGATAAACCTCGATCCGAAGAGATTTCGGATACCTAACGATTCCGATCCTACTAACGTTAAAATACACTCCATTTGGAAATACTTTATTCTTGTATTGGACGAAAATATCGAATAAATTATAATATATTTGATTATTTGAAGATTAAAAATATCATTGCTTTGTTATAACAATTGATTAAAAAGTATCATAAATATAAGTATTTGTTTTTTTATTTTATAGTGGTCAAAAGTACAATCGGCCAAGTTCTCAATCCTAGAACATCAAATGGATCCTAGTAGCAATTTCAGCAGCTATCGTAGCACCTTAAAGGCAGCAATGTGGCGTAGCGCCGGCGCTACGGACGAACGTCAACGAATCGTTGTTCCCTTCTTTAGCCTGCTAGTCAAGGATCTATACTTTCTCAACGAGGGCTGCAGCAACAAGTGAGTAGAACTTACATGCAACATATTATATATATATATATATATATATATATATATATATATATTCATTGGAATTTCAAGCGAAGGGCTGAAAATTTAATTAATAGAGCGTGACATAGGTAGGCAAACCGGTGGTCAATCCGTCATTCTATGTTGTCGCTAATTTACTAGTAATTGTCCTACGTAGTTATATACGTTATTATAACCAGAAGCATTCTCGACACTAGTGGGAGAGGAAGTGGACGAGTCTCTGACGTTTAATTGATGCCTACGAAACAGAGAGAGAGAGAGAGAGAGAGAAAGAGAGAGAGAGAGAGAGAGAGAGAGAATGTGTAGTTAACATCAACGTGACACAAAATAAAGCACGTAATACTCATATCATGTTTTTTATGCAGTTTTTCATGCTTTCCAACGGTAAATATATTTCACGGCTTATTCTTGAAAAATTTAAATAACATAAAAGTTTTTACGAATTTTAAATTATCATAAGTACCTTACACATATTTTTGCCTTATATATATATATATACTAAAAGTAAATATTCCTGTGAAGTATAAACAAAAAAATATCGATAAATTGATCTATCTCTTACTCTGTAAACGAATATAAGTTTTAGCCAGATATTATATATTATATATCTATATATATCTAATCAAAAATTCTCGATTACTTCCGAAGAGAAGTTTTCCTTGTCGATTTTCACGAATTCCTTCTCACGCGGCATTTCTCGTGCCAGGATTATTAATCTTGGAGAAAGCGATATGTCGACGTATCGAGTCGACGTCTCTCGCAAAACTCATCCTTTTCGAGAATCTTATTTATTACATCTACGAACGTGACATTACGTCCGCGTGTACGTGTAAACTTATTAAACTTATAATGGCAAAAGTTGTGTCCTGGAAAGTCGGGCAAAAGGAAGAAAAAAATCAAAAAAATATGAAAGGTGTCGAGCAAAAATAAAAACTCGAGAATACCGTTCTCTCTCTCTCTCTTTCTCTTTCTCTTTCTCTTTTTCTTTTACGCTTTCGAAAATATTCGAGAAACGGCAAGCGATTATGTTCATTTTAAAAAGTTTTAAGCGTACGATCGTTGCTCAAGGAAAACTATAAAGAAACCTTTTAAAAACAAATTAAGAACATTCCACTTGTTAATCTTGTTTCAGACTACCAAACGGACACATTAATTTTGAGAAATTTTGGCAGCTAGCAAAACAGGTAACGGAATTCATCGCCTGGAAACAAGTAGCTTGTCCGTTTGAAAAGAATCCACGAGTTATAGCCTTTTTACAAGCGAGTCCTGTATTAACCGAAAATGGTAAGGACAAATAATTGGAGAGATGATCGTCTTATGTTTGTAACGATTACAATCAAATTTACGAGATCTATAACATTAAATTCTTTCTCTCTTTTCCTCTTTATAGCATTGGCTCTAGCATCATTCGAGTGTGAACCACCCGATAACAATCCTGAGAAGGAACGTTACAAAGCTTTAAAGTAAGAAAGACTTACGAGATCGTTCTTTCTTAATAATTTGTAATATATTAAATAATATTTAATAATTAAAAATATCTTTTCGGAAATGATCATCTAAAAATATTATTATTATTAAAAATATCAACAGCGATATATGTTCGCAGGTCTGAAATGAACACCCAGTGAAAACAAGATTCGCTGCAACATGTCGAACAGGAACGCTACTGATAAAGAATAGTATCAATTTATATGTATATATGTGTATACATTTATATATATATATATATATATATATGTATGTATGTATGTATGTATGTATATATATATATATGTATACTATTATATATATATACACATATACAAACACATTTATAAATATTAATATATTCGTAACGATATCCATTTAATCTCCTGCGAAAGGAGACTGTGTTCTCGGTGCAAGAAGTGAAAAGAAAAAAAAAAGAAGGAAGAAGGAAAGAAAGCGAAAAGGCAAAAGAAGAGAAGAGAGAAAAATGAGAAGATAAACGACGGATTTAAAGTATTAAACGGAATAAGCTACATCAGATGTAGACTCGTCGTTCCGTGATTGCGCTTGCGATTAAAAATTGCCCTATAGTGAGATCTCGCGTTGTTAAAAATCGATTAAGCATCTGCTTGACCCGTATAGTCATCGGCAATGTTAAAATGAAGCTTGCCCGACCTCGATGCGATACGGATGAAAATGTAATCCTTCGGGTAATATTTCTGACGGCCGTGGTAGGCCATCGACAAGAGCATACGTATGAACGTATCGAGCAGTTCGCGATTAAAAAGCAAGGAAAAATAAGGTATGGCTCGATGAGCGAGCGATGTAGGCCAACGTTGGTCGGCAAAATCGATTCGTAAAATGATTTTTGACGATTGCAGATGACGATGCGGCTCGCGAGATCGAATAAACTGGCTGTTCTTTGAAATCGGATTTCGGGACTAGTCTGGTCTTTAATTTAAAAAAGATTAAAAGAGAAAGAGAAAGAGAAAGAGAGAGAGAGAAAAGATAAAAGAAAAAAAGCAGAAAAAAAGGAAGAAAAGAGATTTCCCTTCTGTTCTTGAACGAAGGACGACGATCGGCTTCGAGCGAAACGAATCGATACTCGGATAACTATTTATGTAATGTATATGTACGAACGGAATATTCGCTCGGACAATATCGCGCGTGAACAGTAAGTATAGTTCCTAAGTCCGAGGCACGTACCGGCTGTATCTCGAAAGTTCTTCGAATATCCTTTCCGTTTTTCAATCGTTATAGGAAAGAGAATGATGAAAGATCGACGTATCGTAATGAGAAGTATAATCGGAGCATTCTCGAGAGACGATCCGTGACATAGCCGATTCTTTTGTATATAGCCCTTTTGATATAACGCTAAACGGACTCCTAAGTGTCAGATGTAGGTTCGTTCCTGTAGTCTCTAAGTTCAAATATAGTATCATAGATATCCGATAAGAAAAAAAAGCCACTATGATCATCGTGCCCGTACTTAAAGTTATATAAGAGAAGAGAAGAAAATGGGGGCGGGAGAAAGAGAAAAAAAGAGAAAAAAAAAGAGAGACGATGCGAAGGTCGAAAGAACTCGTACGTGGTAGGATTGATGGTATTTGCAAATTACTACAAACATGATCGACGTTCAATAAATGAATCGTTTAATATCGTTCTCCGACACGCTTAACGTCTTGCAAAATTAATTCGAAAATACATTTTTATGAGTAACGTATCGATCGGGAAAGGTGAAAAGGGTGTTATAACGATAGGAAGATTCGATCAAACGTTTGATCAAGTCAACGATATCGACTTTTGCGATCTTAAAACGGAGAAAGAAAGTCAGATCACGATTTTGCTAATATCCGGCGTTGTTTTCCTTCTTTGCCTGCATGAACTCGAGAGCACGAAAGAAAAACCTTCTTAAAATATTTAGGGACCAAGAGTTCGCTTCTCCTGGGTATATAGCACAATCCAAGTAAAAAGAAAAGAAAAAGAAAAAGAAATGGAAAAAAATAAACAAAGAAAAAGAGGACAAATATTGTGAAAACGATGGAAGGAAAGTAAAGGAAAAATTATTCAAATGAAGTCACGACGATCTAATAACGTTTTAACTGCCGTCACGAAATTGCCGAATTAAGAACAGATGTTAAAAGGATGAAGATCTTGAAAAGTCCATTACGATTAATAGACGAATACGAACCGAGAGTCTATACAAAGATCGCGTAACAAAGAAAGTATAAATTAATCGATCGAATCGCCAAAATCCGTGAGTCATCGAACGCTATGGACACTTGCCATTCTTAAATTACTCAATAAATTATTATATATTTGATTTTATTTTCATCGAACGTATATATGTATGTATGTACTACGATTCACGCGTTGTTTCCATTACGTTCCTAACAAAATATTAATAAAAAATATGATCTTCATCCTACAAAATAGAAACGCATGAAAGTACATTACTACGAGATATAGCGATCTTTGTAATAAAACATAATTAAAAAGAAAAAAAAAAAAAGAGAGAAAGAGGAAGAGGAAGAGGAAATAACCGTACATCGAGAAAAGCGAAATTCTTGAAAAAACATTTATAAAGATATATCATTATAATATGATATCGCATAAAATAATGGAAACGATAAATATATTATGGCATTCATCATAACATAAATGACAGTAAATATACGATTATATACGTACGAGTTCTGTACGATAAGCAGTAACGATAACGAATTTTTCGAGGTAGATATCGTTTTTCGTTATTCGTCCCGTTGGATATTATCAATTTTATCATCGTCGTCTCGAAAACAATGCACTTTAACACAAAAACTGTGAAACGTAGATCTAACGAAAAAAAAAAAGAAAAAAAAAAAAGAAAAAAAAAGAAAAAGAAAAAGAAAAAACAAACTGTTTTCTTTACTTCTTGATAAACTTTCGTACGATCTTTCAAAGAATCTCTTCATCCTATCCGGCAAAACAAAGTGTCCGAATGCTCGATGATGACTCAAGGAGTTTTTTTCTCATGTAGATAGGATATAACAATCATCGACAATTATACACATGCACATTTATCGTAAGTACATAAATATTAAATTACCACCGTACCATTTAAGCCGCTTAATCGTTGCATTGTCAAATATTCATATCGTTTCACCGTGATCATTTGATCATCCTCGCTCAACAATCCGTGTTCAAAAATCCATCCCGCCCTTCTATATCAAATAACAAATCGATGAGTTTCCATCCGTCTCGAATAATTTCTTACGAGCAGCACACGATCACTTCAATTTTTTATATGGCATGCGTTTTTCTACAAATCCGATATAAAAACGCGACGATAATCGCGATTGCCTTTCGATCGGCTAAGATTCAAATGACGATAATTACGACGATAAGAGATGTGAAAGCAAGTCGATCGATTCGTGATTGATATAAAAAGAAGCGTCATCTAAAATTCATTTTCGTAAGTGCTGCTCCGTTGTCCCTTTCTATTGAGATACACTACAAAGTTTATGGTTACACAATCTGTAAATAAAAGGAATGGCGTGTATATATACATACAATTATATAATATATGCGTATCTATTATGCGTTAATTTAGATTTTAAGTATTAGACCGTAATCGAATTTAATGAAATCGATCAGGGCTGTCGTTGACGATGATAATATTTTTTCGTGAAATTTTTCTTCTTCGATCGTTGTCATATTTCTTTTCTTTTCCTTTCTTTTTTTTTTCGATCATCATTGGCAATTATCTATTCGACTTTTGTTCCCTTGATCAATCACGAACAGAAATACATATATTTCAATTTTCTTGATAATTGTGCAAAACGATAGATCGTTTAATTTTCTTTTTGTTTTTTTTTTGTTTTTTTTTTTTTTATTTTTCCAATGCGACAGCCCTGAGGCCGAAGAAAGAGAAGGAGGCAGAGAAAAAAAATACGACTAGAAATATTGACATTTGTCGAAAAACGTCGTAACGAACACGACAAATACTCGACGACAAGAAACGCCGATCGATCGATCTGAGATCACCTAACGCTATAATATAGCAAAAAACTAGATTCATCCTCGAAATCAATTTATAGAGAAAAATCTTGCTTATCGTCTAGTCACTAGATAGTTAGTCGAGCCCGAGCTTTTTACGCCGCGAAAGGAGCGACCGACTTTATTTACTTTTCTTTTTTTTTTTTTTTTTTTTATATAATAAGTACCTTTGTCTACTACATATATATATATATATATATATATATATGTAGCCATGCTTTCATATCATTACATCTTGCGATGCGTTTTATACAAATTCATATACATATTATACGTCTTCGCATTGATTTTCGACGACGTTCCACAGAATTTTTCTTTCGACGGTATCTCATTGAATATCGTAAATTGTATGACATTTGAAACGTCATTTCATTTATCTATTAAATAAACATGTGAATATTTAAATCCTCCTTTGGCGAGCTTAATCGAGTCGGGAACTTTATGCCTAAATTAAGCGTACTCGAGAGTGAGAGTTAACGTTAATTTCCGCGCTAAACATATTTTCAATGAACATTCCCTTTATGTAAGAAACTTTATATACACACGACGCGACACTCGAGAGTATAATGCGTCAATACTTCGCCAAGTTTGCTTGTAAATGATTTTAACTTTTCATTCCTTTCTTCTATCTCTTGTTTTCAATTTTCTTTTTTTTTCCTTTTCTTTTTTCTATATTTTCGCGCGATAATCTCTTTGCATGTATGATTAACGTGATCGTAAATAGGCCAAGAGAAATAAAGAATGAGTGTGTGCGCGTATATATGTATGTAAAAAAAAGAGAGAAAGAAAGAGAGGTAGAAAGAGAGAAAGAGAGAGAGAGAGAGAGAGAGAGAGAGAGAGAGAGAGGAAGAGAGAGAGAGGAAGAGAGAGAGAAACTCGACCCCATAATTTATGTAACTTTTCATGAGAATCTTCATTGAATCGTTTCAGCGCATATAAAATTTCTATTGTGATTGAATTATTTGTTAAAATTATTATTCTCGATCGTAAGAAATGATCGAGATAATTTATAATGTAACGCGTTGAAAAATCGTTTTTTTTTGTATTATCATAAAAACCGACCGTATTAAAATGTTAAATAACAATATTATCCCATCATAGAATGCATTTTTTTCCAGAATATCAAGATCCAATGATTTCTTCGATTCAAGCGAGCCATCCAAATGGATTGAGAATCGATGATCTGTTTTATGTTATCGCAACAACATAGTTTAAATACTTCGTACATCGTTTCATCCGGAATCAGTTTCATTTCATTGTACAAATGCGAGTTCTCCCCATTTTTACTTTCGACGATGTCAAAAGAGATGCGTTGGGACTATTTGTACATACATAGGCTCAATCATGTAACAGCGATGAAACAGCAATTAAAATTATTGTAGAAACGATGATGTCTTACGAAATAAATTGCAAATCGATAAAGAAGTTAAATTGTAGTGCTTCTTTCCTCTCCTCCAAGATAAGAAAAAAAATTAACGTGAGAAATTTATCAACGAGAATTTGCTGAACTCGTTCGTCAAACTAATTAATTTTTGTGTGAGATTATTTTCCTGATAGAGATTCCATGATTTTTTTATCGATCCAACGTCGATAATGAGCCACTCGAACATAAACACCCGGTTTATTGGCTTCTCCACAATGTTGTCCCCAACTCGTGATTCCGTACAATGTAAATGCACCTATACAAAAGTATGTATATAATGTCCAAAATTACACGTTAAAAAATAATATTTTGAAAAAGAATCCTACCATTGTGATAACACGCCAATGGGCCACCAGAATCACCATCGCAAGTATCAACACCTTCATCCAAGTATCCAGCACATACCATCCCATCGCTGATCTTGCCGTGACCATAAACATACTCAGCACGACATACCGATTGGTCTAGTAATGGTATCCAGCCGTATCTGAGATCTTTCGATGGTGCTAACGGTAAAGCAAGATAATTATATTCGAATACAAATATCATTATAATTAAAGGAAAACTGACATATTCGTAATAATGATTTACTTGTTTTCCCAGTTTCAATACTGCCAAATCCACTGATAGTACAATTCAAACCAGCAGGATATTCCGTATTTTCTGATGGCAAACAAATTGGCATGATATCCTTGCCTAAGGGTATACCTCGTCCTTTGAGCAAAACTAGAGCGATATCGTTATTCATTTTATGTCCTTTACGAAAATCTTCATGGATATAATAATCTTCGATATTCGCTTCCTTTTCTGTTCCTTCTTGTATCTAAATATATTTAAGAATTGCTAAGATAATTACATCTATAATTAATACTAACAGAGAGAAAGAGAGAAAAAAAGAGAGAGGGGAGAGAGAAAGAGAAAGAGAAATTTGATTTTGAAAATGTTCCTTACTTCAGTATTGTAATCTCCAGCACGAACAAAGTACGTTCCTTTATTATAACCTTCCAAACAGTGTGCAGCCGTGAGAACGTGCAAAGGCGACAAAATGACCGCTCCGCACCAATGATTAGATCGACTATGTCCTCGAACTCGTATACTGGCCTACCAATTTATATTATATTAACAAATCTATTCAATGTTTAAACGGTACGATTCAAGTAATTATTTTTTTATTACATTTATTTTTCCTAAATTATTTATTAATTATTTATTAAATTATTTATTAAATAATTATTTATTAAATAATTTTTATTATTTTAATTATTTTAATTATTACTAAATTATTTATTAAATAATTTTTTTTACCTGCCACGGATATGTGCCTTTTGGTGCAATCGAACCATGCACCACTTTAGCAAATATACGATCCTCGTCATCGTTGAAATCTTCCGAACGTTTTCCACAATTCGCTGGTAGTACATCATTAATTCTTGGTTCCGGTAAATTGGTCATCGTTTCCGAGAAGAACTGAACGATCAACAGGTAAATCAGGGCCAAGGAATGTAGTAATCATTCTTCGTATGCATTGTATACTTTAATATTTATTTTCACTGACAATCGTGTCAAGAAATTACAAAGTATTTATGTTTATTTGCCGTTATTGTACAAATAAATTAATTTTCTAAACGCTAATAATAGATAATAGTAAAGGCGAATTATAAAATTGTTAATGTATTTAGATCTTTGGTTACGTTTACTTTGCAAGACTAGAAATCACAGATTTGTAGAAGAAACAAATCATTGTGTTTCGACTAAATATGTATACAAATTAGGATCTAGTCCGAGAGAAATTATTTCGAGTTACCTCGGAGTCATTGTTCACGGCTCCAGGTGAACAAATTACACCTGCATCTTCATTGTGATCGCAATTGTTTCGTCCCCAGTGATTGTGATAGCAATATTTCAATTGAGTTTCGTTTCCACGACAAGAAACCTAATTTTAATAAAATCGAAAGGATGATATTAAATAAGAAACAAAACGAGTGTGAATACAAAATTACAAAAAACATACCTCATCGAGCCAAATAGGTCCTTGTCCAGGACCAAAGAAACTGTCTTTTTTTGCTTTTGCAACACCACCATATCCCAAAGATCTACAAATTACTCTGGCTGTAGCAGCAGAGAAATCATCGTCACAAACTGTGCCCCATATACCGTGATGACGAATTTCTACTCTGCCTTCCAATGGACTGCTACCATTTACCAGACGAATTTCAAATGGAGCCTTATTTAATAAAGAAATTAAAATAAATTATTTTCGATTTTTTAAATGATTTTTTATTTATGACTTCCTATTTATGAGATGATTGATAATCAGATGAAATTTCATTAATAAAAAGTTAAGCATATCTCTTACATTACAATGTTCATCACTTTCGTCCGAATAATCAGAACAGT